CCCGGCCCAAGCCACTGAGGCTATAGGCCGCCCCTGCCCGGCGTAGGTTGTGTTGCCTACCTTGCCGGCGCCCCAGGGCCCACTGCGCCCTCTCCATCCCCCACCCCTGCGCGCGTCAGGCGTGCCGCGGCCCCCGCAACCCAAGGCCAGACTAGGCACCCCTGTAGGAACAGTGGCCTACCCCCTAGGCGTCCAGCACCCCCACAACATGCTACTACACCAACAACGCAACCCCCAGTCTGGCTGGCCCCGGGCAGGCACGAAGGAGAAGGTGCGAGTGAGAGAAGGGCTAGCGCACGTAACGTGCATGCAAGCTGATGGCAACTGCCTCCTCTATGCCATAAGCCACCAGCTACACGAGACTGGTAGAGTCCCGGGTGAGGGACGGCTGGAGGCCGGGGGCGAGGACCATGTCCGGCACGCAGCCCAGCTGCGGCGGGCCGTGGTCGCGCACCTGGTGGCGTTCCCTCCGGTCGCGGCTCTGGAAGCAGCATGGGCGGATGACCCGTGGGGCTATGAACCCTTCGTGGGTCCACGGCCGGACGGCGAGCTCGGCATAAGAGACGCGACAGGAGCGGCCGCGCGCCTCGCAGCCCAACTGGAGAAGGACCATGTGTGGCTTGGAGAGGAGTCTCTTGTGGCACTGGCCGAGGCCCACCAGACCAAAATCACAGTATACTACGAGGCGCAGGACCCCCTCGACATCGACATCACGCCACAAGCACACACAATAACACCAGCACACCTCACACCAGGTCCCCCCCTCAAGATCATCTACAGGGTCAGCAAAGCCGGTGGCGGTGAGAGAGTCCACTACGACAGCGTGAGCAGAGTGCGGGAGGTAAGGGAGCCCGGCCACGGCGACTTCTGCAGCCCCTTTAACCCCTTCCCCCCGCTCCCCAAGCCCAAGCCGGCGCCGACGTCACAACAGAAACAGGTAAACGCTGCAGACAAGTGCAGGTGGAGGGTTCAGACCAAGAGGAAAGAAAGGGAGACCCCCGTCGGTCTACCCAAGCCCACGCCTACCACCCCGCCGCCTCAGGACAGGCCCGCGGATACGCCCCACCTGCCCGCCAAAGGGGTGGGGCGGGGGGACAGTGGCCGGCCGGCAGCACTGCCCAAGAACTTGCCTATCCGTGTCGCAACGTGGAATGTCAGGACCATGGGTGTCCTGGGCTGTGCCAAAAATGTGGCAAAGGAGCTTAAGCGCATGGGGCTTGCCATTGTGGGTTTACAGGAGATCAGGTGGCCAGGACAAGGTGAGCTCATCATGGGTGACTACAAGTACTTCTACTCCGGAGGCACGCAGAAGGTCCATGGGGTAGGTTTTGCAGTACATCGGAGCCTTTTGCCCGCCATGTTTGGTTTCCAACCACGAGGTAAAAGGATAGCTGCCCTGCGTATGCGCACGGAGACCCATACCATCTCTTTCGTCACATGCCACGCCCCCTGCCAGTCGGAGAAGGGGCTGGAGGAAAAAGGTCAGTTCTACGAGTCACTTCTCAGGTTAGTACACAATGAACTCCCCAGCGGCAGCGTCAAGATAATCCTAGGAGACATGAACGCCCAGTTGGGCCCCCCAGCCACACCCCTGGACAAGTCGAGGGGCTACTACACGTACCACAAGAAGGACAACAGCAACGGGGCGCGACTGGTCTCCTTCGCCAACGCGGCTAGCATGACAGTGGTGAGCACGACGTCGTCGCGGCCCAGGGGCGAGCGCTACACCTGGACCTCAAACAACTGCAAGGATGTCTCCCAGATAGACCATATCCTGATTGACACCCTTCGCAGAAACTGGGTAACAGGTGTGCGCACGGACTGGACCGCGTGTAACTACTCTGACCACGCCGCTGTCGTGGCGACGCTCAAGGTGAAAGTGGAGCACTTCAAAAGGGAACGAGAGCAGGATATGCTAAAGTCACCTAAGAAGCTGCGACTGGAGCGCCTGAACAACCCTGAAGTAAAGGAAGAATTTCAAAAGTCGGTGACGCGGCTACTGCAGGAGGGCAGCACGGAGGCGAAAGAGCAACCCGAAGGCCCGGCCAGTGACACCACCCTGCCGGACAAGCCACCACGGGAGACTATACACGCCATGTGGGAGCGGATGGCGTCAGCCCTGTTGGTCAGCGGTAAGTCCACACTAGGGGAAGCCAAGCAGACGAAGGGTAAGCACTGGTACGACGAGGAGTGTGACGAAGTCACCGAGCAGAGGAACGCGATCTGGAGGTGGCACAGGGAGGAGGTGCACAACGAGGAGATCAGAGAGGGCTACGAGGAGATGGAACGGATGAGGAAGAAGACGCTGCGACGGGTACGGCGACGCTACCTCAAACAAATATGCGAAGACCTCGAGCTCGACCACTCGCTACAGAATGTCCGTGGTTTCTTCGCAAAGGTAAGGAAAACTAAGATGGGGTATGTCCCCCGTGCATGTATGGTCAGGGCCGAGGAGGGGCTGTTGGTCGCCAACACCACGCAGGTGTTGCAAACATGGCGCGACCACTGCATCAAAGTCCTTGCGGGACCTACGGAGCACGGCGAGGCGCCCGCACCGGAGCCCGACCAGGGGCCTAGCCAGGGGCCTACCCAGGGGCCCACCCAGGGGCCCGTCCAGGGACCCAGCCAGGGGCCCAGCCAGGGGCCTAGCCAGGGGCCCAGCCAGGGGCCCAGCCAGGGGCCCAGCCAGGGGCCCAGCCAGGGGCCCAGCCAGGGGCCCAGCCAGGGGCCCAGCCAGGGGCCCAGCCAGGGGCCCAGCCAGGGGCCCAGCCAGGGGCCCAGCCAGGGGCCCAGCCCACAACAGCGAGTAGGTGCCGTGCCTCAGGTGGGGACGGCGGAAGGGCAGCAGCCGGATCAGCGAGAGCGGAACCCACCAACACGGGAAGAGGTGGTAAGGGTAATTGAGTCTATGAAAAAAGGTAAGGCCACGGGTGCGGACGGCATTGCCACCGAACTCTTTCTGAACGGCGGGGAGCACCTGATCGACAACCTGACGGCGCTCATGGTAAGGATATGGGAGGAGGAGGCCATTCCAGCAGCGTGGGAGGAAGCCGTCATCACAATGCTCCATAAAAAAGGGGGGCTCTACGACTGCGATAACTACAGAGGCCTCTCATTGCTCAATACTGGCTATAAAATCTGTTCCACGTTGATCCTACGGAGGCTGGAGTACTACGCCGAGGAGGCCACGAGTGAGTATCAGGCAGGCTTCCGCAGGAATAGGTCGACGACGGACCACATCTACGCCCTTAGGGCGCTGCTTGCCAGGCGCAAGGAGTTCCAGCAAGAAACACACATGCTGTTTGTGGATTTCGCGAAGGCTTACGATTCTGTGCACAGGGCCGTGCTGTGGAAGAGGCTAGGTGAGCTAAACATCCCTCAAAAGCTCATCGTGATGATCCAGGCACTCTCACGCTCCACAAAGAATAGGGTAAGAGCAATGGGCTTCCTCTCAGAATGCTTTGAGACGACCTCTGGCGTGAGGCAGGGCGACGCGCTCTCGCCACAACTCTTCAACCTGGCGCTAGAGTCAGCGGTGAGACGGGTAATGGAACTCCTGGACCCTGAGGTCTTGCTCCTGGCGTATGCGGATGACATAGTCATTGTGGCTAACACCCGCCCGCAGCTCAGCGCGGCGATGGCGGCACTGGTGGAGAAGTGTGCGGAGATTGGTCTCCAGGTCAGCCAGGGCAAGACTAAGTATATGTGCTCCACGCCGACACAGGGCGGCCCCTCTCCACCTCTACAGGTAGGTGACCACTCCTACGAGGCGGTCACCGTCTTCAGGTATCTGGGCTCCATGATTACCGTGGACAACGACAGCCTCGTGGACATCAAGGAAAGGACCAGCGCAGCGATGCGCAACCTGCGGGCCCTGAAAGCCCTGCTGGGCTCCAAGGAGGTGAGTAGGAAAGGTAAGCTCATCATCTATGAGACGGTCATCAAGCCGGTCGCTGTATATGGAGGGCAGGCCTGGACCTTAACAGCCAAGTGCAAGCAGGCCCTGTGCGTCTTCGAAAGGCAGGTGTTGAGGGCCATTGTCGGCCCGGACCTCTCCCAGCCAGGAGTGGTGCGCCTCCGCAGTGACAAGGAGATAAGGGAGCTCCTGAACTACGGAAAGAGTGTAGTAAGCTGGGTGCAGTCTGTCGCCCTTCACTGGGCAGGGCACGTGGAGCGCGCCCCGGAGGACAGAATTATCCGCAAGGTCACTGCTGGGAGCATCAAGGGCAAGAGGGCCCGAGGTAAGCCAAAGCTCCGTTACCAGGACTACATCAAGGAAATGGTAAAGCCCTACGGCGTCACTGACTGGCGCACCCTAGCCCAGCAGAGGGAGGGGTGGAAAGACCTCTGCTCGTCGGTAAAGGGCGCACCGCCAGCACCCGTGACCCCGCGCAAGAAGAAGGCCTCCGCGGAGGAGGCGGCCACAACACTGAGCCAGGACGCGGACGCACCACAGACACCACCCCAACAGCCTGCACCTAAACGAGCGAGACGCGCTCTCCAGTTCACACACAGGGCAGAACACACACTGAGCGACTCGGCGTCAGACAACGACTCAAC